AGTTACAAAATCATAAAATCCTTAAAAATATACATTTATAATATTGATATTTTTATTTATTTTTTAATCTTGATTTTTCATTTTTATTGTTTAATGAGTTTTTGATTCGTGGAGGAAACACGGTAGTAAAATCTTCAGTATCGTTCAAGCTATTATGGATAAACGAATTAGAAAAAAAATCGAAAACATTGAGAAGATTAAAATGGTTTATGGTGACAATCAGATTTCGAGTTCGGGAAGTGAATAAATTAACCAAAGTGAATGTCTTGGTAATGAATTAATATTTTATTAGACTCGTTTTAATCGAAATTATGTTTATTATGATGTGTTGTGTTTTTTGTAGTTCATATTGCATTGATAACTTTTTTTAACTATTAATACCTACCTAATTCACATGTTCAAATGGAAGTACATGTATGACTCATTTTCATATTGTCATATTATCGACTTTTATGAATCATGAACCATTGTGTTCATGTTACTTATATCATATGAACACAAATGTTATTTTTTAAACTTGATACCAAATCTTTATATTTGTGTAAGTGTTTGCACCTGATGTTCATAGCGTCGGGGTTATGTGTTCATATATTTTATACGATATGAACAAGGGGTGAACACGATATGAACAAGGGGTGAACATGATATGAACAAGGGGTGAACACGATATGAACAAGGGTTGAACAACCACATAAGACCAGAAACATATATGAACAAGAGGTGGACCTTAAACGGTGTGGATGCAATGCATGTATAAAACTCCAATTGACAAAGAATCGCTCCTGAATGCGTTCATAATTAATGAACTATTGTTCAAAAACTGTTCATATTATGTTCATACCTGTTTTTTATTTATTTTCTTTCGTATAACAGTTATTCTTATTATGTTCATATTGTGTTCATAAATGCTATGCAGTCCAAGTTTATATATTTGTCAAAAAAAAAAAATTCGTATATGATACAATGGTTCATATATATATATATATATATATATATATATATATTTGTGTTCATATGTTTCTTACGTTAACAAAAATAAATTAACAAAAATCATAATTTTTTTGATTTTGTAACTCCCAATTATTGATATGGGAGTTACATAATTTTTTTATACCTAAATACCCTTTTCAACTTTGTTCACTTATGTTTATGAAATTTTAAATTTAAAAAAAATAAGTATTTATAATGATTAATCATAACCGTTTATTGAAAAATTGAATGACCAAGATCGGTTAAGAAAGTTAACACAAAAACTTTGGTTAACATTTGATCTTGACCCTCTATATATATATATATATATATATATATATATATATATATATATAAAAGAGAGATACAATTGAGAGATGTTATACTATAAAAGTTTGATATTTGGCAATTAGATATGATATTTTGATCATCTTTTGTTCATAAATCCAATTTTCTCCAAAAGTAATTTGATCGGTATAAAATGTTTAAGAACAAGAACAAAGAGAGGATCGTGGAAATCATGGAGCAATTGCCCATTCCCAAAATAACGTCCGACAAGAAAGTCTGTCTTCAACACGAGTCGGTAAAAAAAACCTTTCAGACGTAAATGTCACATTTTTGTTGTATGTTAGGTATAAATTTGTTGAAAAATTATAAATTTATTTAACACATAAGATTAGGGATATGTTTAATTGAGAAGTGATAAATATTTGAGAAGTAATAAGTGATCTTAGCCATTCATACGATTAAGATTGGTTAAGAATTGTGACTTTAACTAGTCAAGCGAAAAATATATAAGTAATTTTGTAATTTTTACACATATGCGACAAACAAGTGTTGGACTACCAATAACTTTCATGATGGTTTTTTAAGTTGGATTTGAAATTATTAAGAGAGTTTGTTGATTTGGGCTTTGACAATGTTACATATATTTTAATAAAATACTTAATTTAATTTTTTTAAAAATATTAATTAAAAAATCTATGTAAGATTGAGCAACTTTGTTTCTTATTAGTATTATAACATTATTTAATGTAGATATTTTCTACAAATTTAAATTTGTATTTGATTATACAAATTCAATTTTTTAAAATTATATATAATAATAATGAATCACATTAAAATATATTAATCAACATATTCTATATTTAATTTTTTTAACATCAGATTTGTATTAATTAATTTTTTAAATATATTATAAAATATTTAAATTTTATTAATTTTTAAATATGTTCTTTTTAATAATTTTACGGACGTATTTAGTTCATTAGTTAACTTATCAACTATCAATTAACTTATCAGTCATTAGATACGTTATCAATTAATAATCAACTTATTAACCACCAATTGACTAATTAATTGATTTGTCAAACATAACCCGACACACTATTATCATATCTACATATATTATTTTTCCTTAACTTTAATTAAATTAACCCAAATTATCAACATATCCGGTAGGGACATATTCGGTATTTACGAAAAGAAACGCGCGAAACCGCAATCGCGAGGGGAGATCCTCGTGATGTCCTTTGGCCATTTTCATCTTGCTTCCTTTGAACAATTTACAATAATGGCCACTTACTTTTAAGTAAATTACAAATACAACCCTTCAATTTAATTAAATTACAAAACAGTCCCGTCCATGGCACTATCTAATGTGGTCCAAATGAATAGTATTATCCTTAAGAATGGTCAACATTAACATGCATTTATTTGTCCTTTACACCATTTATGTCTCCTTTTGTCTTGTATTATCATCCAACCAAGGTGATGTACTTTATTCGTAAATTATCAGATTGTTCTGTTTCAATTTTAAATATAAGATTTTAACCTGTAATGTTGTCTTTATCAGTGTCATCATAATAACTTAAACTTGTATTAATAAAGTTATAAATTTTCATAAGACAAGATCTACATGTATCCTACGGTATCATGTGAAACCATAGAATTGGTTGCATGAAGTGTAGTTTTTTGAACTTTGTAAATTGTAATGGTGAACCATAGGTTTCGTTGTGTGCAACCATAAATATTGAAAGGATAAGGGTCTGTGTATAAAATTTATAAAGATATTTATTTGGTGTAACCACTTTGAAAATTTCCTATATCTGCCTCTGGATTTTCAAATATTGTTGTGAACGTTTGTATTGTTAAAAGCCTAATCATTATATAACACATAAGGTAAAACCAATCAGTTTTACATTAGGATTTTTCATGTCTCTTTTATAAGGTTCATGTGATTAGTTGAGGTGCACATAAGCTAACCATACATCCATGGTTAACATAAAAAATGCAACAATATATCTTAAAATATCTATAACAGAATATTCAAAGTTATATAAAATTTATAAAGATTGTCCAAAAGGAATGAAAAGTGAGAGAATACATTTTTTAAGAGAGAATAAATATCCAAAAATAAATTTTAGGGAAAACCGAACTTACATTAATTATTTTATATTTATTTTTGAGGAGAGAGAATATAAAATTACTATCTTCTAAAAAGTTTGTTAAAATATTAAATGTATTAAATATTTTAATAATATAATTAATGTTAAGGAGAAAATTGATGGACTTGAATGCAATTATATTTGAAAATTATGAGTTTTTTTTTTCAATTTAGAGGAACGACAACGAAAAAAAGTTGAAGATGCTTTCATAAAACTTGAAGGAGGTGGAAAGACAAATTTAAAAGTAAAAGGACTATATCTACCATTTTATCAAAACTTCACCCTTTCCGAGATGTTGATTTATAATTTCAAATCAGCCCCTCATTCTTGTGCAGTGTGCCCACCCACCCCCCTTAAACAGTAAAGTGGGAAAAGGTCTCTCCCTCTATCCCTCTCACGTATTCCTATAAATACAGTTGTTTCCCTCTCATTTTCCCCATCCTAATATTCTCTCAAATCCGCCATTAATTTTCTTCAACTGCTCCTTCACAAACTGAGAATGTCCGCCGGCGAGAACGGAGGCTCCGGCGGTTGTATCAATGGCATCAAATCCGCACTTCGCGTCATCCCTAACTTCCCAAAACCAGGTACAGTAATCTCTCGTTGGGTTGTGTAGGATACTCTGTCGGGGTGGTTTGTGAGAGCACACATAATCTTACACATTCATGAACGGTGATGGAAGTTTTGGTTTTATGATTAACAGGTATAATGTTTCAAGACATCACTACATTGTTGCTTGATCCGAAGGCATTCAAAGACACCATTGATTTGTTTGTTGAACGTTACAAAGACAAAGACATTTCTGTAATTGTAGGTAATTATTCTACTTTGGAATTTTATCCACTCCCGTTGGAATTGAGTAAATTCATCATGCTAAATCTTTTCGCCGTTTATTTATTGAGAAGTAGGGTCAAATGCCGAACTTTGTCCACCCACCCACACACACATACATACAAAACCTAGGGTAACATTATGGCAGCCAATGTTGTGCAATAATAAGCATTATTATCTTCCTTTTCCATGGATGTAGAGATGTTTTGTTGTTGTTGTTGTTGTTGTTGATATTTTATGTTTATTTTTCTATCGTGCCATTTGTGAACTAAAGTTAAGTCGAATGTCACCGCCAAAGGGGTTTGTTTAGGGACGTCCCATCCCTCTATAGATGACAAGTCTTTGATCCTGAAACAAGTTAAATCAGACCATAATATACTGTAAAATTTGTTGTTGGGTTCGTTTGTGGTGACCTTTTTTATGCCTTTGAGCTACAACAAAATCTTGAAGTGGCATCAGATGACTATTTTTTTTGTTTCCGAGTGAAATGACGTGCCAATTCAATTTTGTCTTTCAGTGGTTGATAGATAGTGGGAATTTGGGGGTAGGAAGTTGTCATTGATTACTTCCTATGAATGAATATGAGCGGCTAATAGTGGTCTTTGCTTGCTAAAGCATGTGCTCTCTCCCTTTCAAGATCCAAATTTTGGGTGGGATAATGGTGGTTCTTGTTGTTGGGGGAAGGCAGGTGGGACCTCCCCGGCGTGATGATGGATATTTGAATATGGGGACAGATCCTTTTTAATTTTGTTGGGTTTCATTTCATCACATTGTGGATTTTTAAAGATTTGCCACTATTTGGATGAGATGCTTTTGAATTTGAGCCTCAATACTCTTCACTTTCCAATGTTTTTGCATATATATTGATTTTATCCTCATCCCCTCACCCCATATGCATACACTCTCTTTATTGTTCATGATTGTATATATCTGGGTGTCAGAGTCTGATGATCAATTATTGTTGGGTAGATCTCTTGCAAAAGGTGGAGAGTCTAATGTAATCAAATGGGCTCTATTTGTTTTGTTCTCTGGTGATCACTCAGCATCATAAACAACCGTTCATTTTTTTCTTGATATCTATGTTCAGTTTCTTGGTGTCTGCAGTTCTGCCACATCTTGTCTTGTAGCATGAAATTTTTGAAGCTTTAGTTTTAAGGCCAAAGGAAAATATTACAGGCCGACATCCTTTACTGTTTACTGTCATTTGAATCTAAACCGGTCATTGGTATTCAAATGCTTTTGTATTTGGATTTCTCCTCAAATCGTAAAAGCAAAAATAGATTTCTTTATCTTCAATGTGTTGAATTTCTTTTTCCTAGTTTACCTTATCTACATATCACTAGAAACTAGAGTTATTTGTCAAGATGTCAAGCCTCACTAAATGCAATTATTTAAATTAGTGTTGATTTTGGTTAATTTAACTTCTTCTATTTGGATGTTGAAAAGTTTTTTCGATTTAAGATGTCACCTGTCTGTGAACTGAGAAAGTATCTCTCTTTTGGCTTGCGGCCCTAAATGAAAATTCTGTCTTTTTGCTAGCAAGACTGTCATGCCTCTTGGGGTTCTTCATCATGTAGTTAGAACCATTCTAGTTGTAGGTATTACATGATAAACCCAAAGCATATATACAGTTTTTGGCCCATTAGTACATCAAGACTTACCACTTGGTTGTGGTGCACCGTTAAAGCCGAGGGGATGTAGTGGAAATTGCATCTTCCCCTGGTTCAAATCTGTTAGTTGCCAGAGCCGTTGTAGCCATGCAGGTTCACCTGCGAATACCAAGCCATTTGTGGTTTCCTGGGGATTAGCAGTCCGCATAGTCTGGCTCGGATACACACGGTTACACGAAAAAGACAAACAAAAGTGGGCATAAGTATAAAAAATATTTATTATTAAAAAAATTGTATAAAAAAGTTGTTAATAATTCATTCTGATGGATTCTAACTGCACAAAAACAATTTGACATTGACTTTTGGTTCCAAACAAAAGTTAACTGAACAGCCATGCTAGGTTTGCAAGGTTACTTGCTTTCTCTTTTAACTATCATATAATGACAGTGTATTCTTTTAACTTGAAGGAATATGCCAAGTTGCATCTTTTATTAACTGACCCTTTGAAAAGTGCTATGTAGTAGTAAGTATCAACAAGCTTGCCTTAAAGGCCTCTACATTGAAGATCTCAAGATTGTTGGAGAGTATTTCCTTGCATCTCTGCATTATCATTTATTAAAAATATTATATCTATCTTTAATGTGAGTGGCTCAAATTTTCTGGATATCTATCCCACCAAATCAACCATTCAGAATTCTTGAGTCCAAATATTTGAAAACTCTATTACTTAAGTATTTATCTAAATGGTCATTGTTATCTTTACCTTGTGAGTTTCCAAACTTTAATAGTTGTCTCCATCTCACCCTTGCATTTTTTCTTAATTCCATTTTAATCCATACATTAAAATATTCAAAATAAAGAAAACAGGGTGCAGATTGCTAGGTTACAGGAAGAACAGTGATAGATAAAATTAACATTCAGCAAAGTTATATAATTCTTAATATGATTGTTAAATTTTAGAATGAAGACAGTGGCTAATTTCATATCCAGATTATTCTTAAATATGCAGGCACTTTCACCCCATTAATAGTTTAATAGATTAGTCCCGTATACCAAAAAGCTGACTTCAGAAATAATTTGTCCAAATTCCAATAAAAGTATTTACTCGTAATATCATTTTTATTAACACATCTCCATCATTCTGTTATCCACATGACATAATATATATATATTGTCAAGACACTATTTTTGTTAACAGACAGTGGACTATTGCAAAGTAGTCCCCCCGTTTTAGAATAATTAGGATATCTTTTAGGGTTGTCCTACACTAGCCATGACATTTTTAGGAAAATAGATGACCTTTTGGTCCCTTAATAATCATTAAAGAAGTAGTTGAATTCACTTTTTGTCACTAGATTAGCATAATTTGGACATGCAATAGTGTTTTTTAGTAAAAAAATTGTAGTTAGTGGCATCTAGGGATGCAAATGAATGTTAGACAAATCAAATATATGTATTCACATGTCCGTATCTGATTAAGATATCTGATACTGGAATGTCTATCTGGATTGTATCCGATGATGTTGAACATAGTTGGATATATCTATAGGGGCGGGTTCAAATGATAAGGCAGTCAACTTATGTGAAGTGCGAGAAGGGACAAATCACATTGATTTACAACACATCCAGAAGGTTCGCGTTCACTGGCCATTGCGTGAACGAGTTTTCACGTGAACTTGGTCGCGTTGCCAGTTGCCGTATCTTTCTGGACATGTAGCAAATCCCTACTTACTATAGCATCACATGTGATTTGACCCTTCTCACACTTTTCGTAAGGTGACCATCTTCTCATTTGATCCTCCTACATCTATATCCCTTACTAATCATCCACACATCCACATTTAGTATTCCAATACCGTATCAGTCCATCCGGAAATATTGTGAAAAGTTACAATACACACACATGAAATATTGGTTGAAGAAAGATGGATTTAAAGAGCAAACATAAGATATTTCATTGAAAATCAAATCATATAGAAAATATAATTTAAGAACTACAGAGAACCTTATATGCGACTCTTGGCCCTTCATATGTCCTTGATCAATTTTTTTCTTTTTATTTGTGGGGAAAGCCCATTGAGGATGAACAAATTATCGCTGCAATTGATCACGTCTTGAATGACATACATAATCAATTTTTTTCTTTTTATTTGTGGGGAAAGCCCATTGAGGATGAACAAATTATCGCTGCAATTGATCACGTCTTGAATGACATACATAACCAATATAATGGAAGTATCACGAAACAAAAACAATAAACCAACACAAACCAAAACAATTCCCCCACCAGAACATAAAATACATAAATGTATTAGTCTGTAGTCACAATGTTGAATTAGTTTTGTATCAATCAAATTTATGTATAAAGCTTATGTCGTTCTGATCTTGGTCGTTCCAATTGGACAGAACTTTGTATCTGTTTTCTATCTCCCCATATCTCTTTTATTGTTTCTTGGAAATATACTTTTAATTTTTGTTCTTGTTACTTGTATATTTTTTGCTTCTTGTCTTTTAGCAAATGCCATAACTTATTGCACCCAGTTTGGGAGTTATTGCCAGGTTATAGTTTAGAAGATACTACTTTGTCTTAGCAAGTATAAGAGTTGGCTGAAATGAAGTTTACATCTAATATTTTTTGGACTACTATGATACTATCTATATATCCTTGAGATAAGATGAGTAAACCATATGTACCTAGTATATTCCACTCGGAAGTAGGGTCTGGGAGGGTAGGATGTATGCATTAATTTCTTCTAATCCTAGGCGTTAAGGGGCTGTTTCTGTGAAACCCCCCCGACTTGTGACAAGGTGTTGGAAAGATTCGAAAGTATTTTTTAGAAAAGCTTTGAAGATTTTGAAAAGCCTGAACTATGCAGCATGAGAGCTGCAATTAACAGATTACAAGGTAATGTATATGACTGTGTTAATGGCTAGAGAAACCAAGCTGGATAAGAAGATTTAGCTTGGTTTGTTTTGCTCTGAGAAGGTGGGTCCTAATGTGATTAATTCTCATGAATTAAACTCGAATAGAGTTTATGAACTCACAAGCTTACAGAAAATTGAGCCTACATCGTAAGTATGAAGATTAATAGCGGCACTAGATGATTCCACGAGGTTGATGCTAAAGCCCAATCCTTTTGGCTAATATATATCAGACATGACCTCTCCTTAAACAAGCCACAATTCAATCCTAGAGTTCTTCAAATTTTGACAAAGGGTCACTAATCTGTTTGAGTAATGCTATATCCTCCTAAAGGACACTTGGCAAAATAATGTATTATTTAGATTTTTGCAGTTAGGTCTTGTTACTTTTATATATTTTACCTTTTGTCATTTAGCAAATGCCATAACTTGTTGCAACCCAGTTTGCTCAGGAGTTACTCCCAGCCCCAGGTTACAGAATAGAAAATACTACTTTGCCAGTTTGCCTTAGCATGTAAAAGATTTGGGTGAAATTAAGATTATAAATCGTGTGTGGGTAATGTCTGGTCAACACATCATGTGTGTATCCCATGTGATTTTACTCTAGAATCGCATGTTATTTGGCCCTTCTCATATTTCTCGTAAGTTGACCGCCTTCTCGTTTGAACCCGCCCTTGTACAAATATATATATATATATATATATATATGGGAAAATTGCACCAAAATGGAACCAACTTTCACCTAATTTCTATTTTGGGGAACCAACTTTCAAAATCGTCATTTTGGGGAACCAACTTGCACYTRATTCCTATTTTGGGGAACCAACTTGCAAAATAATTATAGAAAAATAACTAAAAATCGTTTTTTTCCAAAAATTAATGCAATAAAATCTATTTTTCATTTCAAATCTCGTTTTTTTAATTCAGATATCAAATTGAACATTTTATAAAAAAAATCCAAATTACCACAATAATAATTGTTTTTCACTAATGCAAAAAAATCAATTTAATAGAAAAAAATTAATTGATGCAATAAAAAATAAATATTAAATATCACATTCAAGATTTTTATATCTAACTAATTGCATCAATTAATTTTTTTCTATTAAATTGATTTTTTTTGCATTAATAAAAAACAATTTTTATTGTGGTAATTTGGATTTTTTTTAAAAATGTTCAATTTGATATCTGAATTAAAAAAACGAGATTTAAAATGAAAAATACATTTTATTGCATTAAGTTTTGGAAAAAAATGAATTTTAGTTATTTTTCTATAATTATTTTGCAAGTTGGTTCCCCAAAATAGAAATTAGGTGCAAGTTGGTTCCCTAAAATGACGATTTTGAAAGTTGGTTCCCCAAAATAGGAATCAAGTGCAAGTTGGTTCCCCAAAATGACGATTTTGAAAGTTGGTTCCCAAAATAGGAATTAGGTGAAAGTTGGTTCCATTTTGGTGCAATTTTCCCAATATAATATATATATATATATATCCTGAAGATAAGATACACATAGAAGAAAATAAGGCGTGGGTTTGTACATCTTGGTAAGTTTCTCCCAAGATTCCATGTGGTTTATGTTTTCATTTAGTACAAGAAAGTAGCATGCAAATTTCTCCTATGAATGTTCTACGGCTCTTCACTGCTGCTGTCGTTTTCATTTATTCCCTGGTTTAACTTTTCATTACCTATTGAACATACTTGATGGCTGCTCTTGCACCATAATTCTTTAATATTAAATTTTTCATGGGATCCATCTTTTTATGCCTGATCATGGCTCCATCACAAAATTTAGATGGATAATACTTTTCCATGTATGCTTATGTGAATGTTTCCTTTATTCCAGGAATCGAGGCTCGAGGTTTTATATTTGGTCCTCCAATTGCACTTGCAATAGGAGCAAAGTTTGTTCCATTGAGGAAGCCAAAAAAGTTGCCTGGTACATTACATCTTCCCTTGTTATATTCTCCTTGACATAATTTGGATGTAGAGGTCCTTGATATAATTCGAATGGTAAAGGCCCAACTCCCAAGCACACCTAAACCAGGTTGTTCTGATGCAAGTTAGGGCCTATAATTCGAATCTTAGATCAAGGGTGGGAATAGGATTTGGGGCTGTTTGGTGGTTTTCATGGCAATGTGTTTTTGCTGATGTCAGTGAAGGTGATGAAGTGGCACTAATGAAGCTTGAAGGACAATATATTTGTTTCCTTGTACCTTCTTATTTTCTGTCTTTTTGGCATCTATATGAAAGCATGTGAGTTTTGGTCTTTGAACAGCAATGTTATTGCCATACCTAACAAACCTGTGAAATCTTCTTGTCACCCTCTTTGTAGTGATCCGGGCTTCAATGAAAATTACAGTGGCGATGATCAAGGTTTTGAAAGAGGAAAACATGAGGCGAGGCATAAGCCTCATGGTGAACACCTCGACGATAACAACAAAAATTCATAACAAACAACATATGATTACATGTCAAACTATTGAAGTCTTAAAATTACTAGTTACAAGTCTTAAAAACATGAACTAAATAATTAAATCTTCAAGAAGTCATCAGTTTCATGATCATTATCATTGTTTGACTTTTTGAAGGGTTATCAAATGGTGTAGCTCGATCATCATCTCCGTAATCACTGTCATCTCCTCCAATTTCATTCATCTCACCCGAATTTACTTTAATATCTTTGTTTTTTCCTACATTATTTCATAATATATAAGCATGAGTAAATTATAAAACTATTTTTGTACTTCATAATAAAAATATATATAATTACGAATTTGTAATGAGCTCTAAAAGTAACCTCTCTTTGGTGATTGATTTCTTTTCTTCTTCCTTGGTGCTAAACTTTTGCTTTCATGCTCAATTGTCCTGCCAAGTTCAATTGCTCTACTATTTACCTGTTAATGCCAAATTGTTGTTGATTCTTTTCAAGTGTTTCTCAGCTAACTTTGCTCAGCCTTTTGTTTCCTCATGTTGATTTACCTGTCTATGATGCATGCATACATTTTTAAGCAAAGACAATATGTGATATACGTGGTTTTATAATTTCAAAACTTGTAAATAATTCAAGTGGAAGTTTCTGTAACAATGCATATCATTTCATGTATTTAATGTGTCTACGTGCATACAACTGTCAACTGGCTATGTTATAAATAACGCATTATGGTGCCAAGTAAACCCCTGTGGCTCGATCTAAGGCGTGTTATGGTGCAAAACGTGGGATTTTTTTATATATATATATTAATTTATTGGTTATTATTTACAGCTGATAGTATGACCTCATTGAATAGAAGACTTGATTAAAAGAAGGAAAAATTACATCTAATATAATCTAACACACTTTTTGGTATCTAATATAATCTAACACACTTTTTGGTATCAAATTTTGTAAGCTCCATATATTTGATTTCAATACATGGTTTTTCTTTCTTTTATTGTTTTTATATGAATTTAATTTGTTCAACACAATGACACACGCATAAGTTTGTCGTCTTAAGCCACGCCTTGAAAAACGTCGTGATGTAACTGTAACTCATAAAGCTTGAGGTTTGACACACCATGCCTACCTTGGTTGTAATAGCATCTTCATTTGAACTTTTCACCAATGGTTCAGGAAAACTCATCTCCCCCACACAATCTAGTTATGTTATTTGGATTCCCCAGTCGTTTATGCTAATGCGATTTCAAAACCCTAGCCACCCTAGCAGGGATTTCCTGTCAAAACCCTAGGTTCCCCCATCACTAATTGAAACCCTAGCCGCCGTCACCATCTCCAGTCAAAACCTTAGGTTCCCCCATCACTAATTGAAACCCTAGCTGCCGTCACCATCTCCAGTCAAAACCTTAGCCATCACCGCTATCGTTGAACAGCTTGGTGTTGTGTCTAAACATCCAAACTTGAAGGTTTTTAGGTGCCTTTATGTGAACAATAGAGTATCAGTTCCTCGGGGCAAATTTCCTAATATGCTGGTTTCTGCTTTGATTTCTTTCGAATTCAAGTTGTTGTCACATACTTGCTGGTACTTTTGTTGCTTTGGTTTAAAAAAGATCAATTTGAATGTGAGTAGCCCGTTCATGAAACACAATAACAGATGCAATATGAAGAGCAAGTTGGTTGTCACACCATATTTACACCGAGACATTGTGCCATAGCCCTATATTATGACTCTGCCTGGTTGTGAGATGACATTTTGCTTCTTGCAAATATATGATATCTTCTATCCATTTTGGAACCTGCCCAATTTGCATATGGAAAAACATTCCATATGACTCGTTGTCTATGATTTGCATACACAATACCACGTCCAAGTGCTCCTTTCAAGCAACAGATGATTTGTTCAACAATGGAGATGACATAAACTGAATGACCATAGTAACATGATCTGCCACTTTAAGATAATTCAACTTCCCAACCAACCTTCGATATTTCTCAGGATCTCCGAGTAGTTCCCCTTCTCCTGTAAGGTGCATATTAGGAATCATTTGAGCACAAGAAGGTTTTTCTCCCAATTTTCTTGTCTCAGTTAACAGGTCAAGGACATATTTTCTTAGATAGGAAGATTCATCTTTTTTACTTCTTGCAACTTCAAATGCCCAAGAAATACTTTAGCACCCCTAAATTCTTTGTGTAAAACTGAGTATGAATGGGAAATTGTGTGTATATATATGTTCATGTACATCTCTTTTCAATTGAAAACTCAATTACCAATTCGTACATTATGCTTTATCAGAATTACAATCGTTGGCTTTATAACTACAGGTGAAGTGATATCAGAAAAGTATATCTTGGAATATGGGTCAGATTGCCTTGAAATGCATGTTGGAGCAGTTGAATCTGGAGACCGAGCTCTGGTTGTTGATGATCTAGTTGCTACTGGTGGCACTCTTTGTGCTGCAATGAACTTACTCGGTATCTCTTTCAAACTTTATCCACCTGAATGGGGATTCTTTTCACTTCCTTAATATGCAACAGTAATAAATAGTACTAAAGATTAATGTCTCTAGTGGCTTATGGACACATTTCAATGTTAACAAGTAGAAATTATATGCTCAAGTAGTCAAAACATGCATATCCTGTAAAAATACATTGGCTCGAAACTAGTTATATCTCCAGTTAACTTGTTTGTGTTCCTTGCATTTTGAACTATCTAAAGTTAGGGAAACTAGCCACTCATATGTTTAGATGGAAGTCCTGATAGTTTAGTTTATGAAGTAAAAGCTGCAAGTCTGATTAAATATTTGAACTCCAAATTTATAGTTAATCTGTGGTGGAATGCTGCTTTCTGTCTTTGTACTGATTCTCCAAAACGGAGAAAAATGAAGATTTTGAAGTTTTTAACCTATTTTCTTTGCTCCAATAGAACCTCCAAAATGGAGAAATTAGGTCCAAATTTGGAGAACTGTCAGAGATTAAGTGCCCACCAATGAAAGTGGAATATATCATCATTTCATATAAAAAAATTGAAAATTTGTTGGGATATTAAATATTTTAATGAAATAAGTAATGTTGAAATCTTCAAAAAGAATAGAGAAACTGTTGGAGTTGAATGTAATTTTCTTTAGAAAGTTGAACTTTTTTGCTTCTCAATTTTAAAGAATTTATGGTGAATATGTTGGAGATGTTCTTTGTTACTTCATTTTTGTGTTAACAATACCTCATTGTCTTTTTGTTTCCCAGAGCGTGCTGGAGCTGAAGTTGTCGAGTGTGCCTGTGTGATCGAAGTACCGGACTTGAAGGTACGTCTATAAAAATAAATATATTGAAACAAGCACCGGTATTCATTTCACTTTAATAAAAATAGAACAGATGAATGTTGTTGTCTCAAGTCAATATCATCAATTTATTTGCAATGATATATCAAACGAACATATAAATTTTAATTTACGGAAAGAGAAAAAAGAAATCATTTGGTTTATCTGAGTAGCTAAATTTCCTTATTGTAGGGTCGGGAGCGGTTGAGATCACACGGGAAGCCATTGTACGTGCTTGTTGAGTCGCAGTTTGAGCCGAATTCACAATGATGACGACGATTATGTTATCTTTTGTGCATTATGGAAAAAGTGTACATTAGAGGGCTGTTTTTGGCCATAACTCTCGTTCGTATATGTCCCAAGTGGTAAATTTTGGTGATAAAACATGTGAGGCTCAGACCACTCGTTTAGGGTTCGAACTGGATTTCTCACTTGATTCTTTCTTTTTCATCTGGATGGATTTATACATACCGATGACTATCCAAAATGCTATTTGCAATGAATTTGATTTTTTAATCTACTGTTAAAAACTTGTGTTTATGTTATTCGTTAAGCTTGTAATTTAAATATATAATGTTAGAATTCTTCTAAAAACATGTGTAGTGTTTAGTACTTGGATTGCAAATTATGATGGAAGTGATAAAACCAACAATAGACATACAACTTGGGGTCATATAAACTAGTATGTTTTCGTGAGACTTGAGTTTACAAAATAATCTTGGATCTTCATAGCAAAACATTATGAATATTCAAAAAAATACCAAACCTTCACAGGGAAAACATTTTGAACGTTTGTTTTTGTACCTTTATAGTGTTTTATCTGTGAAAGTTTAGTATGTTTTTGAGGCTTCAATCACAATCTCTGAAGTAAGTTGATCTCATGAAAACCCAACCTACATGCATAAACATAATAACTAATGTTTTTGAGGCTTCAATCACAATTTCTATTTTAACCACAAGGGTGGTGCCTCATTGGTTTGAGCTTGGCTCCAAAGGTCAAAAGTATCAAAAGGTCTCAGGTTCAAATCCAATGAGAAATAAAAATCCCTTTTGTGGCCACGGAAGTTCAAATGCGGTGACTCCAAACTATCTGTAAAGCAGGTGGTCGCCCAAGAATTAGTCTGTTCGCATAGCAGATTATATATCCAGGTTAATAAAAAAATAATAATATTTAAGAGTTAAATGCAAACTTAGTTGATGTGGTTTACATAATTTAATGAGTAAAATACTTGAAAAGAATTATCAACAAAATATGTCCTTATAGTTTCAACTTTATAACATATATGAGCCCTTCGACTCAATTAGTGCTAAATTATGATATATTTAACATATTTTTATATATTTAACATATTTTTATTAATTATGCTATAAGAGATATGAGCCCTTCAACTAAGATTCCTTTAAGTCACGAGTAGAATACATATTTTCAACTAATTAAAATAAAACATTTATCAAAATTATATTTTATTTGATTTAAAAGGTTTCATGGAAGGAATGTTTCTAAAAATATAAAATATTTCATCCCAAAATCTAAACTTCAATTTTAGTTTAGTTATTTTGCTCATTATATTTAAAGATATATGTTTGTGCCACCAAATTTTATTGATTAAAATGAGAGATTCAATTCTAAAATAAAAGTTGAGGGAAAGACCAAGTCTGTTACTAAAATAAAAAGTGGTTTGATGGACCAAATCCGTTACTATAATAAAAAGTAGTTTACGGGACCAAATTTGTTATAACATAAAAAGAAATTTGAGGGATCAAACCCGTTATTGAAAATGAAAGTTGAGGGAGAGGAGGGTGAATAGACAAAATCGCCCCTCACTAACGGAAACTTAACTAAATGAATCAATACAAGAGACCACATCCGTTACAAAAATGAAACTATAAAGACGTCCTTCATTAATAATTTTTTTCATTGATTGATCTTACTCGTTAATTTATATAAATCAGAGAGACCGAATTTGCATTTAACTCAATAATTAATTATTATATTTTTTGATTAATTAAATGACAATTTTATTTTTAATTGAGCATACAATTAATTTCATTAACATTTTATTCTCAAATTTGGGGATTAAGAAAAGAAGTGAAGAATTTTTTTTTTTATTTGTGTTCTCAAAAATGAAGGAAATAAAAGAAAATAAAATAATTTTTCATGTTTTTAAACAGAAGATAAAGTAAAGAAAAATTTCATTTTTTTAAATAAAATATTTAAAAAATAGACCCTTTAAAATTAAAAGGTGGTAGTTTTGTAATTTTAATAATTTTTAAGGGGTTTTAATTTGTTTTCTTTCCTTTTTTTCTACGTTTGTAAAATTTATCATTGTTTTCATTCACTTTTGATTCCTTTCACTGAAAAAAAAAAGTTTTGAGAACACGACTTTTTTTTACTTTCCTCTATTTCTCCTCCATTTCCTTTTATTTGTAATAAAGATGTAAGTTATTATATGCTCGCGAAACGTGTTACATATTGATACTGTTGGGGAGCATGTAAACCTACAAGGTCGTACACAAAGAATACTTTTGTTTTCATTTATACAAATTTGAATTAAATCAAGTGGGTTATAGATATAATTATTATTGAATGATTATTATGAAAATGTGTATTGAAACGTAATTATTATAATTACAGGATGTTATCTATAAATATGTATAATTATATTAAAGTTTAAGATAATTATATATATGTTACAAATAATCATTAAACCTTATTTTGAATCACAGTCTATTTGTAATTCAAACCATATAAATAAGGTGTTAGACTTAATCAAGTCTAACTGATCGAAAGATTAGAATTTAGCCTCAAGGAAAAATATAGAAAAGAAACATTTTCTTTTCATGTGTGGAGAGAAGACCTGCTTTGGTTTCTATGTGCTCAAACGATACCAACTCCCGATCTATAAAGGTACAATTCTAAACACCCTCCGGTGTGTAATTTAATTAAATATATCATTGGATCCGGGTATGAGTTTTAGATAAGAAAAGTTTTATGATTTTAATTTTGTGACCAATTAAAGATAATCTTTTCGCTACATAAACGATTGCAAATTTACTTTAAAATCCAATAAAAGGTTTCAAGAACACAACACAATGGTAGTGGAAAGAAGACATTTTTTTTTTAAGTTGCCACTTATTTTTAATCTTGGTATTCATGCGAACTTGAATGTGAATCCTATGCGAGGCCCAGGCCCAACACTAAATTTCGATCGGGCCAATTCTTCAACCCAAAAAATTCTTGGTTAAGCCTGTTGGCCCTCTTTTTCCAACCCAAAGCTTGACTTGACTTGACTTGACCGAGCCCGGATTCATTTTTGCTTACTAAAAACCAGCTTGGAAGGCCCAAATAAAAATCCAAAAAGCCCAAACCTTACGTATCTCTAATTTTATGGGACCCTAGAAATAACAACCCAAAAAATATTCGGTTGCTAGAGTAGAACTAATGGGAGGAGCCTGTCTAATATTTATTTGTTATTTTGTAATAAACTAAAATAGAAATATGCCGTCACCAGTCTAATACATGGATCTCATCTGCAGTTTTAATTAAATACAAGGACCAAATATGTAATTACTCTAGAAGTTATTATTTAAATATAATGTCTCTTGGGCCTTAATTTTGTAACCCGCATTATTGGGCCCATAAGTTTAAAACCCAATTTGGTTCAATCTAAAACATGATGTTTCGCCGGCAACTGTAACTGTAACTGACACAACAACTGTGGTCTGGACGGTCAATCGGAATCGGATTAATCCACCATGGAGGAACCAGCGCCACCTCCACCGCCGCCGTCGTCGTCAACGTCAATATTCCGCCAGGTAATCAACTCCGATACAACTGTTTCCCTCACTATCCACAACCTCACTCAACCCATCCTCCCTCGTTCCTTCCTCAAGCTACTTGAAATCTCCGGCGATGGCCGCCTTTTCTTCCCAATCCTCCTCTCCCTCCTTCTCTCCCCTCTACCCTCCACTTCTCCACTCCTCCTCTCCTTACTTATTAACTTTCTCATCGGATCTCTCCTCGATCTCCTCCTTGTCGGTCTCATCAAACATCTCGTCCGCCGCCCTCGCCCTGTCTATAACAAAAACATGTTCCTCACTTTTGCCGTTGACCACTGGTCCTTCCCCAGCGGCCATGCTTCTAGAGTTTGCTTCACGGCTTCCTTGTTTTACCTTTCCTCGGATTTAATCCCTGACATATTCCTCCAATTGAAGTCTGACATGTTAGGATCTGATGTATTTGAGAGTGTTAAACGTTTAAATATGATTGTTATAGCCTGGGCAACTGTTACGTCGGTTTCTAGGGTTTTGCTTGGACGGCATTTTGTGTTTGATGTTGCTGCTGGCGCTGGATTGGGAGTTCTTAATGCATCATTCGTCTTTCACTTTCTCAATTGTGAGTTTTTTAGCTCGATTCTTTCACGGAAATTGTCATGGTAGCTATCATTGCTGTTCTGTTTCGTATTGTGTACAATTTATATGAGAATCATCGTTTGGAATCTTGTTTATGACAATTTTATCAGAAAATCGTACGATCTTATTGTTGTATAGTTTTAGTAGTTACAAGTAATTTGGATTGGTCGACTGATATTTTAATCTTCTATGAGGATAACAAAAGTCTTTGGGTTACGTTCATCTTTCTATCTCTTCCAATGGTGATTGATTTGTAACTTCACTTGCTCAAGGTGAATGTTTGGAAACTGCAGTTTATGGCTAAATATATTAATTGAACAAGTTCCCATTGAAATAGGATCCACACAAGGAAAAGCACTTGCCATTCGTTGGTTATTAGCGGCATCCCGAAAACGTCCATTTCTCAGATTTGAAGTAAACCATCTCTATGTTTTTTAAGAACTGCTTATGTATTTGGAAGTCATGCAGTTGATGGTGGATGTGGGATCTTTGATGAGTAACCGGAGGAATTTACACATCGCTGATAAAGAAATAATAGATCAGTGAATACTTGTGTTTGATGTCATAAATCCAAAGTGACAGGCAGCTTTTGATCAATCTTAAAAATGAGCCAGACACAATTTTTTATTGATCCATTAACCCATGAGCAGTTGCGGACACTTGCTTTGTGGTGTTCAACATTTTCCAATTAAATATTAATAATCAGTTGAGTTATGGGCTTGCAAGGCCTACCTTTGTAGGCTACTTATTGGATGCCATGCTGCATTGATTTGATGCTTACATGATATTGATATTAATGCATCATGTACAGTTATTAACCTTTTGAAGCTGTAATCTATTGACCTGGTGGCATATTTCATGGTGTAAGCCGAATATGCAATTACATGTTGATGAGTGGGATCAAAGCTCTGTTAACACAATTTTACTATTTATTTATTTTTTGGTAATTATATATGTGCATTATGATGATGAATGATAGATGGTTAGCAGCTATCCAAACTAACTGTAAATCTATTTAATGATTCTGTTTCTCCAATGTACAGTTAACTACTAGATGATGGTGGTTATTTATTTCAAAATTTGTAGTCATCGAGTAGAATTTCTTAACCTTTTGGGATTAAGACTTTCAACTGAAGTTAGACCAATGTTGCTTGCAACTACAATACATATTAGGTGTTTTGTGATTTTGTAAGTATTGCAACTCTATATTATGTAGGTTTAGTATAGCACCGTCCTTGGGTACTTTATCATATGTATTAAAGAAATTGACATACAAAGGTGCTGAGTTGACAATTGACTTTGTTATTTTAGGTTTTTGTCATCGTCCCTCTGTTCAATTTTTGATGTTCATGTTTTGAAACGAAATATGAAGACCCTGAATAAATTTGAGCAAGTTTCGCATTGCTCATTGAAATTATGGTTATTAGTGATAAAAAAGAGGACAAATTATTCGTAGGATGTTTGTTATAGTACCAGTTGCACGGTGGTGCAGTGGTGATGGTAGATTGGCATGATCTCACGTGTTATAAATCCGTAGTCATTTGGGATCTTAGCCTCTTACTAAATGCTCTTTGCAACTATTAAATTTCAATGGACATAGGCAGCCTGATTGCATGCTATTCCAATTGGCATTACGACTTTCACAGGTTAAGTAATATATTCCTTAATTTAGTGCAGTATCTGTTGATGCTTGTTGATGTAATGCTTCTTAAGTTTGTTGCGTGGCTTTATCCTTCCAACATGTGATCTGTTCTCTGGAGATGGAGTGTTTGTTATTCGTTAACCACTATCATGTCTGTGTGTAGAAACCTTATGTGGGCAGTGGCTTCCTTACCAATAACTTTTATTATATATGATCTCAAACACCTCCAACTCCCCAAAGAGGAAAATGAAAGCCAATAGTAGGAGTTGACATGATGGCTTTTCTTTTCTTCTACTATCTTGCTTGTCTTCCTTATCTTTTTCTTAATTTACATTATGATGAATTTGGTGCTATTTTCTGATGATGAATTTGGAGTTAAATTCATTTCTCACTTGTGCCTCTGTATGTTATTTACATGTTGAATATATCAGCGGATGTTTTGTTTTGTAAATCAGATCCTATATTTTGTTTAACGATGGCGGTTTTGTGTATCTATAGGATAGGGTTCAAACGAGAACAACACCCTTTTGTGAAAACGTGAGAACACCTATATCACATGTGATACTGTAAGTCATCACATATGATACTACATTAGAAAGCCGGGTGACTTTTGGCCGTGACCTAGCCAAGTTGCGCATACACCCCTGGTTTCCTCCCATATGTGTATACACACACACACATATATTTCATATTATGCACTCCCATATATATATTTCATATTACGCACTCCATTTATAAATTATCAAAGCTACAAACTTATTTGAGTTTTTTATATAATACTATGGTTATTGTTCTCTTAGAAAGTTGCATCAACCATTTAACTATATCCATCTAATTTTAGATCTTAGGATTTTAGACCTCATTAAGAATGTACGTTAGAATTTTTGAATAGAAGGAATCCTATTTGCTGGACATATACCTCTACTTAAGAAGAAAAAGACAGAAGCTACGAGGTCCATGGAAAATTGTGAACTACAAGATAATAGAACGGTCTTACTTTTGTGAATCAAAAAAAAAAAATCATTTCCTTCCCCCTTGAAATCTTGAGATGTATGCCTGATATGTTCTTCATAGATGCCATGCCAGTTGTGCCCCAAAACAATTTTTTATATTTATGTGTGGTGTAAAAGGAGCCATGTATTCATAAATCTCACATTGATTGATTGGTTGATGGTTTGAATGATTTCAGAGTGTGATTCTTAACGTCTTTTAATCACTTGTAGCATACTAGCATTATTTATCTGTAATTGTGTTTGGTTTGATTTGTATTCAGATGCATTCGTTAGCTTCGTTCTAGCATAACAATTAAATTTTGGTTAAATGCTCGTATGGGATGATCCTGATTAGTTCTATTAGTGGAAGACACTGCCATTTCTTATCATCAATAGTTAAAATCTTAGTGGGTCATTGGTACTGCTCTTCCATTGCACTTGCCGTTACAAAGGGGACATACCAACTTCAGTTCACGTTCCTTCGATTAACCCTTACATCATACTTGCCGGAGCAAAAAAGGTGACAAGAGTTCACAGGTTGCTTTTCCACCGAGTGGTTGCTGTGTATACTTGATACTGTAGAATTGATTCTCTTAATGTGGACTTACCAAAGACCTCTGTATGCCATTCTTGTTCATTATTGTGGTTATGCTGTTGAATCTGGAGACATGCTTTATCAAAATGAGGTGTGAAACCCTTTCTCCATAAATTTTGAGTTGACGTGTGGGGTGCTAATATGGTGCCCTTGAGGGAGCTAAATGGATCCTAGTTCCATGTTTCACATTACTGATTCAGAGATTGCCTCAAGTTTATTTTACCTGGGTGTCCTACACGAATGAAGGCATATGTAAAGCTTCTTTAATCTAGATGTCCCACTTTAATAGGGTGTCCTTGAGTTATCTACATGTTTTGACTGGAAATCTTTTTAATTGGTGGCACGTTGCATTGCAGAAAACAACTTAGGTGGTCCCTAACCTAACCAAAACTAATGACATCAAGCTTCAAATTTGTGGTGATAAGCCTTGTATAATTTGTCTACCTGAATTGTGAATGGTCCCAAAACATTTAGCTGTCTGTTGATAAATGAGTTTTTGTTTTCCTGTGGAATCGATGGTAAATGGTATCCAAATAGTGTCACACATCTTATATTTTGACTTGGATTTTTATTCATCATGCTCATGTTAATATGGTATAGAGGCATTGAACTGAGATACTTGAGCCATTTTAACTCTATATTATTTGGCATTTTAACTTGACTTGCTAGCTTTGTGTCTTGTGATTAATAAGGTTCAGAAAGATCTGCACGAGCAGTCTTTATCTCTGTTCAATAAACCCCCTGTTGTTGCAGGTAGCACTGCAAATGATTTAAATCACATTGATGGTATGCAGGCAAAATATATTGAATTTTTTACTTGATGTTGTTAATACTTCTTTTCAGTTCCTTCTTGCAGAACAATTATTCACACACAGACAAGAGGCACATCCTGTGTGTAGATGTTTTTGAAAATATAAGGTATCTACGGAATAATTATGATATTGCTGTCATTGCACCAATAGCCCAAGAGTTGGTAGGGGCCTATCCTGGTCAATTTTATATCAGAATCTTGAAATGTGAATACATTTACTAGTCAAAGTATTCTCTCCTCCTATACTACTCCCCTATGAAACGCCCAGAAGCACATGTAAATTCCTTCATTTTTGTTGTCATTATTCATAGCTTTTGACTTGGTTTTAAAATTAAACATGTCTGTTTTAAGACAATATATACAAAGGAAAGAAGAAAAAGAGTATTTGTTCATGATCAATCATATATCCTCTTAAAAGAATTCTAACAATGTACTTATTGCGGAGTTTAAATTTTTATCAAGTATTGATTATTGGTAGGAGTATTTTCTTTATAGATTATTTATTTAATTGGGTTATAGTAAAAGAGGACCACATCTGGACATTTGACCAAATTTTTTTGGATAATGGGAAGAAAATGAATCTACCTTAGCTGTGTGTATGTAACAACCCAATGTTGATTCATGATTGATTATAGATAACATGGGCAGGGAGTTTCAGAGGAGGAGAAATTTGGACTGACATTTGAAAGAGAAGTGTAGGAATTTGAACAAGAAAAATATTGGAGAGCTGAAGGAGACAGATCAGCACTAGAAAATATGTCCCCACCTGGGGCCCACTACATTAGAAGAGGTTAACCTCAGGTGCTTGTGTACCTGCTTTATTCTGTGAGGCTCATTTTTAGTTTTTATTTATATACATGTCTTTAATTGATTGAATCATTACTTCGTTGAGATATTTTTGGAAATAAAAAGTGGGAAAAAAAGAGCTTATTTTTTAGCTCTCTGATCAGATCTTTGACAGACCTATCACAAAAGAAGGGTTTTTTTTTTCTTTTTAAATTTTTGAGAAGGTAAAAACCCCAATTTATTGTTTAGTTCTCTGAACCAACATTGTTTTGGTTTTTTTTCCAAATAGTTTGGAAAGATAAAGCAAAAACAACTGAAATTGACAAATACTAAGGAAGGTAAATCTTTCTGCCATTTAATGCTTGCTCTGAGTTACTCGATAATTAAATGGGAAAGAGGGTTTTCTCCATATTTATTTATTTTAAACATGCTTTTAGAAAGAAAAAAGAAAAAAGGACCTTTTTTTTTTTTTTTGCTCTGATCAGATCTTGTTTTCCATACATACATGTTTTCCCTTCTCTTTTAATATTTATTTATTTCTACAGCAGAAATTGACAAATACTGAGAGCAAGGTACAACTTTCACATATGAGGTAGTAAAAGAGAAAAGCAACTATAATTGTATTGCTTTGAATTCATCATCTTTCAGAAAAAAGAAAAGAAAAAAGATGACATTCTTTTTCCCTTGTACCCTTTGCTTTTTCTGTGACAACATAAGTAGCATTCCAGAATGGGGGGCTATGAAATGGGGAGGGAATATATATAATTTACGGTACAAAAAACAAGACTTGATATTTGTTGCATCAATGCCCCCAATGGGCACTGAATGATTGTACCTAAGACCATCAGATGCGATCCAATGGCTAGAGTCAATAGATCGGTGCACTTGCACATACCTAATCCGTCTGCCCATGCCTGCTTTAATTGATTTTTAGTGAAAATTCAACCTCTGGCTTAACGTACCAATGTGCATGTTCTTCAACAATGATCATATGATGTATCTAAGGATTAAACCTATGGTTCTTTCTGGTTCAGATACTCTTACTTGGTTTTGTGGGACCCTATATAACTAGCATACTATGATTTATGCACGGTGTTATGTCATTTTTCTTCGGTTATATGTTGTCTTTCCTGTAGGTCCATATCGTGAATGAGATCCACGTTCCAACTCTTAATTTCAATGGGACCCGTGTGAATGTTTACAAGTTCATGTCGTCCCGCCCTCTGTTCTTTCACAAATGTACGTATGTACGCCATTCAACCGTTTTAATGAGATGTAACATATGTATTGGAGATTGTACCTTCCTTGGATTTGATTGTATGCATGGTAGTAGTAGCAGAAGCTCAGGAGGGGTCAGTACTATGTTGTTGCATGCATGAGTAGTCAGTACCGACAGGTGATTCAATAATATTAAAGTTGTTTGCTTGAAACATGATTTACCTATTTGGTAACCATGAAGTCATTGACTTTTAAACTCCATTAATTTAGAAGGAAATATTGAGGTTTGTTTAGACTAATGATTTAACAAAGAATATATGCTTGTTGGGTTATTGGTTTCGAGTTGGGATGATCCCACCGTCTTTATCGTATTAGTTGCCCTAAGTTGTCATGAAAATGATGTGTACGTCTAAGCCCGAGTTTTTAGTTAGGGAAATATATCATTTTCGGTTGAAGAGATTATGATAAGTTAATGTGTAGATAGAGATATACAAAAGAACCAAGTCTCCGATGCAAAAAGCTCAATCTTGAGAGCTAGCTCAACGGGCAGATAAAGGCTAGGCTTTGTGGCTCCTCCCCATAGGTCGCTAGTTTGAGTCTCCTTAAGGCACTACAAGCTGAACCGGACACTCAATGTTAACATAAAAAAAAACCATCAAGTGACAAATAAAAGGTAGGTATCGGGGCTCTTCCCCAGAGGCTGTTGGTTCGGACGATAGGGATTTTTGTGGTTGTTATCTTCAAAGACCCTATGGGATAAGTAAGGTGTGTGACGTCCACACCGCCAAAAGAAAAGAGAGAAAATGGCTGTAGGGCCTAGTTCTAGGGTAGCCTGTCCTTCAAAGTTGGTTACGGGTACAAATTGTTGGGCTGAAACTTTATTAAAAATACAAGTTAAAAACAAAATACATTTGGAAAGTTGTTCTGTGGAAAGTTTACAATAATTCATCTAAAGAGGATGCAAGTATTCAAGTGAATATACATTTAAAGATGGTATGAGTTAATAGTTATGATATAGCAGAAATAGTGTTGCTTAGTTGAAAGTATGGTTGATGTAGCTGGGTGAAATTAGTTGTTAGAGCATTAGTTGAAACTTAGTGTCTAATGAAGGTGGAGGGACCAATATGGGTTTGAATGAATTGGTTGGTTGCAAAACCTTCCACAAATTTGAATAACTTTTTGCAGAGGAAATAGTCTCTTGTGTTAAGTACTTGTGGAACATGAAATTGATTGCCAGTTGTTCCTTTTCTTTTTTTCTTTTCTTTTTTATTCTTCATTATACCATCTCTGCAATCATATCATTCTTTTGTCTTTGATTATTTGTTTGGCATATTCTGCTTGTTTTTAGGGATAATGGATCCCAGATATCATTCATTTTTTGGTGTTCTCTCCCTCCCAGCTGCTTTAATCTTTTCAAAACTAAGAAAAAACTTAAATTACCCGTTATCGTTATCTCTTCGATTCGTCCATCTTAGAATAATTGATACAAAACGTTCGTGTTAAAATACGCATCAGATGGTGATGGTGTGCAACTGACAACTTGGATCGACCAATTTGAACTTGATTGCTAAATTATGGAACTTTCTTGGAAGAAAGGTGTGCACGAACTAATTGTCAAAGTCATTAATATCTGCTGTCGTAACATGTTATTTCAACTAATGAGGTACGAAAATGTCAATTTTCTTGTTAGGGGTATGACAAACATTCAATGAGTGTTTGAAGGGCTTTTTGAACAGTTTAAAGAAAATATCATTAATGCAAAATGTAAAAAGCGGGTGACATCTTAATCGATGTGACTTTTTTATTTACAACAAGACCGACACGAAAACCCTCGTAATTCTTTTCACCAATATTCGCTTAGGTCTTATTGTATCACATGTTGAAGTGTTCATAATGATAACAAGCGACTTGATAATTTGAGCTTAAAGTTTGCAATCATTGAAAAAAATTATGATTAATTCAAACAAGAATACTTTTTTACATACTAATATTTTAATAATTATATTATATTATTTTATTTTATTTTAATTTAATTTTTTATCTAATTTTCATCAAATTATCTTGTATAAATTATTGGTAGTACGTTTAAACGTGTGATTTCAACATATTTTCCAATAAACTGGTTTTCCTTTTCCTTCATATTATTGTCTCACAAGTGAAAAAACTAATTAGCATCAGCTATTTATTAAAAATTTATTTATTCTAATATTTAAAAACCAACTACGAATTCTTTTAATTAAAAGCAATAACAAGATCCTTATATGCCCCTTTGGTTTTTTTTTATAAAATTTAGAATAAACTTTGGCTACAAAAACTATTAATTTATTTGGTTACTGAATTTTATTGGTCATATTTTTTTTGTATAAAGATGTAATTCGAACAATATTACCCGATGAAAACGATGCCATATGATGCTTACAAAGGGTGCTGTGTTTGAAATTGCTAGCGTGTTGTTTAGGAGAAGTAAAATTATGTGAAAAACGGATGAAACAATATTACAATTACCAAGCAAATAAATTTAATGACAAAATAATGAGTTTAGACGAAGCACATAAATATTTTTCTTGGAGTAAAACCAAACAAGTTTAAAATTTCATTTAAAATTAGAAGTTATACTGGATTTTAATAAACTTGTGAGGTTTTTCAAATCCGTTATATTGAGCTTTAAACCAAAGTCCTAAGATTTTCTAGTTTTACAATTTACAAGATTTAAACTACTTTATATTTCCCTTTTGTGTTAATGTTCATATAGTAAATTACAATTTTCGTCCCTGTGATTTGTTAAAAACATTCGGATTTCATCCATGTGATTTTGAAATTTTGATTTTTGTCCCTATGGTTTGTAATTCATTTATATTTCGTCCTTGAAGCCAAAACACTAATTTTAAGTCTGAAAGACTAAAATATTTAATGAATTGTAACCATAGGGATGGAAAAAGCAATAGATTTTAATAATAAGGGCAAAAAAGGTAAAGAATTATAACCATGGGGATGAAAATGTAATTTCAAAACTATATAGATTAAAATAGAAATTTTTAACAAATCACAAGAACTAAAAACCTAATTTAACCCATGTTCATAATTGATTAACGTTCCCCAATATAGAAATTTTTTCAAGAAAATAAGGGACTTTCACTTTCGAGGAGAAGATGTTCGTTTATCAAGAGCCAAACATTGATATTTCAAAAGGAAAATTCATTTTCTAAAGTCTTTGTACTTGATGAACATTAATTAACAGTATTTCATATTTCCTTCCTGGGTTATCGTCAAGGGTCCAGACAATTACATCATTATATTCCAAACTTGTTTGAATCACACTAGAACGATTTACTTATCACTTTTCAAGAACAACTGAATTTAAGCATGCAATCAAGCTTATGCAAAGACAAGTTTGATTATAATACGATGCCCGAATCAAGAACCAAACAAGTAAACTCAATGAACTTATCATCTACTCATCGGCGGATCCCATCCATGAATATATATGCATCAAGTAAACCAAACACTGAAACTCTAATGATCATAGATGTAATTATTTTGTTTAGGAAACTCAATCCATAATTCCTATAAAACCACATGAATGAAATCTGTAAATTACTCTAATTTAAAAGATGCTAGATAGTAGGAGTGTTCTCATCGGTTGATATTTAATAGACTTAGATAGATTCAATATGATCCAATCATCCAATAAATGTCAGAGACATATTTTCTATAAATGTCAGAAAA